GAGCTGCCCCGACTTCAGCAGCATGGGGGCTGCCTCTTCGCCGCCAGCAAAAGGGACTTCTCCTGGATCATCCAGGGACTTTGTGGTGTCCCTGGAATCCACAGGGCATACCTCTCACAAGAATCATCCCTACGGGACGGTTTAGGTCCATTTGGACCGGCCAGGGGAGAAGATATTGGCTGCAATCGTAGAGCTCGATTGCAAGCCACATCGTCTCGGCGCCAGGTCCTCCCATCTTGAAGATGGTTTTATGTTCTATGTTTTGTTTGTGTAAGTTTGTCTAAAAATAAAATAAAAAAAAAAGAATAATCATTAAAAAAAGAATTAGAATCCAGGCAAAACTGCCAAAACCAAAAATGTAATCCATGACATCAGCTGAAATGACTGAATTGAGGAAATACATTGATAACAATTTGGACAGAGGTTTTATTGAACCTGCCAAAGCTAGGTTAGCTGCCCCAGTGCTGTTCAAAGAAAAGAAAGATGTTGGCTTGCGATTATGTGTTGATTTTCAGAGTGTAAACACCATGTGCATCAAAAACATGTACTCTCTCCCCCTCATGAAAGACTTATTAAACCACCTGTCAAAAGGCAAAGTCTCCACCAAGCTAGATCTGAGAGAAGCTTGCTATCAAATCTGCAAAAAAGAGGGAGACAAATGGAAAATAGCCTTCAACTGCCCTTTGGGTAGTTTCCAATTCTGAGTCATGCCTTTCAGACTCCAAGGGTTCCCCTCAGTATTTATGCAACTCATCAATGAAGTATTACATCTGCACCTGTACCAGGTGATCCTCATCTACCTGAGTGACATCCTTATATTCAGCGAAACCATTGAAAAACAGTCAAATTGGTCAGACAAGTGCTCAAAAAACTATTAGCTGCCAAGTTATACGTAAAACTGTCAAAAAGCAAATTCCACAAGGAGTCATTGGATTATCTTGGTTATTGAATATCTAACCAGGGAATTGAGATGGATCCTGGGAAAGTGAAAGTTTTTTTTGGTTTTGCCAATTTCTTTAGACAATTCATTCCTTCTTTTGCCGAGGTCGCTCTCCCTTTGACAGAATTGTTAAAAATGGGGGCTTCTCCCCTCAGACCAAAGCCCAGCCATTGTTCAGACAATGGACTGTAAGAAAGCTTTTGAAACCTTAACCTCTTTGCAGCTGAGTCCATTCTCCAACATCCAGACCCAACCAGATCTTTTATAGTCCAAGCTGATGTGAGTGATGTGGCAGTCACAGCAGTCCTCCTCCAAAAAGACTCTCAGAACCAACTGATGCCTCGCATTTATGTGTCCAAAAAACTGAAAGACACAGAGCGAAGATGAGTGGTCTGGGAAAAAAGAAGCATTTGCTGTATGATGGTATGACTTGGAGGCATTTCCTAGAAGGGATGAAAGAGCATTTCAAGGTGTGAACTGATCACAAGAAACTTGAGACTCTAAAGAAACCTCAAAAGTTATCACCTAACAAGTCGCTGTGCTCAATATTTCAAGTGGTTCAACTTCAACATGAAATATATACCTGGAGGAAAAAACATATTGGTGGATGCCCTATCCAGGAAACCCCAATTTGACAGTCGCCGAGAAGAAGTGGTGCAGACTATGATATCAGAGACTCAATTGGCAGACCAAGTAACCATGTGAGACCAAGCCAATTGTAACCCCAGACACCTAGAGGACAAATTGACAACTGAATTAAAACCGAGCATCAAACCGAATTGACAAAAATGAGGGATTGGCTTGGAAAGGGACTAAGCTTTATGTACCCGCAAATCTTAAAATAATGGTACTAGCGCATAGCCATGAGTTGAGATTGGGAGGACATTTCAGATTCTTAAAAAACCTACATCTATTTAGAAGACAGTTTTGGTGGCCAAAAATGAAACCTGATGTCGAAGACTGTGTAAAAAGCTGCTCAATTTGTGCCAAGATAAAACACAGAACTGGAAAACTCCCTGTCTCCTTCAACAAGTACTGAACCACTACAACCGTGGGAAGAAATCACAATGGACTTTATTGTAGAATTAGCAGAAAGTGGAGGAAATGCAATCATTTGGACTGTTATTGACTTATTCTCTAAACCGGCCCACTTTACAGCCTGTAAAGGATTTCCATCTGCAAAAAAAGCTTACAAAACTCTTTGTGAAGCATATCTACATGGAGTACCTTGCAGAATAATCTAAGCAGAGAGGTACAGTTTACCCCTAAGTTTTGGAGAGAGTTTCTAAAGTCTATTGGGTCATCCCAAGGATTATCCTCAGCATTCCATCCGGCATGCAATTGAGCAGCAGAGAGGGCAAACGCCATTGTAGAACAATACATTAGATGCTATGTGAATTATCAACAAGAAAACTGGGCAGAGTTATTACCATTTGTGGAAGTTGCTTATAATGCAGTACATAGCAGCATGGGATTGACTCCATTTCAAATCAATATGGTAATGGAATTTGACCCTATGCCAGAATTACCGATAGACCCCCCCACATCCATGTCTGTAACAGAATGGATGAACTCATTAAAAAGGGGTTGGGAGGATACAAAAAAGCTTTGATGGAAGCTGAAAGGAGTACAAAAAGCAGGCAGACATAGATCTCTCCAACCATTGTTTAAAGTAGGAGACAAAGTATATTTGTCAATGAAATATCTTAGATTGAAACTCCCTAGTAAGAAGCTGGGCCCAAAATTTTTAGGCCCATTCCAATAACAAAAGTAATCAATCCAGTCACAGTCCAATTAAGCCTTCCCCGGTTACTGGAGAAAATACACCCAGCTGTTCCATAGCAGTTTGTTAAAACCAGCTGTTACATCAATGATAAGGACACTGCCAACTGCTCCTTCTCCGCCTTTAATCATGCAGGGTGAGAAGCATTACAAGGTTAAGAGAATCCTAGATTCCAGATTGCACTGAGGACAGTTAACAATACTTAGTATTGTGGAAGGGTTACCTGGTCTCAGAGTCTACTTGGGTAAAAAGTTGGGACGTACATTCCGATAGATTGATCAACCAATTTCATGAGGAATTTCCCAACAAGCTGAAGGGCCCTCTTGGAAGGGGGAAAGGGGGTTAGAACACAACACTAACCCTTGTTTGTATTTGTTTCTTATGTTTCTTTTCAGGAAATGAATTTCTCAAGGGGGATGCCTGGCAGCTTTGGATTCATTATTAAAGGCTGTCACACAGCTGCAGAGGATTGCGCAGGGCTGATATTGTTTGAGTAGCTTTCAGTAGACAAAATAGATTCTTTAGTAATTCAAGGTCATTGAGAATGGCACAGCAAGAAATGGGACTGAAGGGGGATTGGTTCAAGTGAAGTATGATGTGGGAAAAGGGGGGTGGTTTGTAGGTTGGATCCTTGTGGGAAGTTTGGGGGAAAACTTTAGTTTCAGATTTCCATAGAAGTACCAGGTTTCTATTCTAATAAAAGTACTTTGAGATTATGGTTGTCTTGGAGTTACTGGCTGGAATGGATAATCTCTGGAATGCTGATACAAGCAAACAAAGAAACAAACAACAAATAAACAAATGCGGAAGATGAAGTTCATCAGAAAATGAGACACTGGGATGGAAATTGAGCCTGTTATGGTGGAGGTATGGTTCCCCAAAGAGCAGATGAGCATTTTCAGAGAACTCCTTCTGTTGTTCTCAAGATCCTTGAGCAATCAGAATATTTGAGAACATCCAAATATCAAAATAACTTTTTGGAGTTTTCTTTTTCTTTCTTTTCTTTTCTTTTCTTTTCTTTTCTTTTCTTTTCTTTTCTTTTCTTTCTTTCTAATTGTTTGATGTGTTTTCAATATAGAACCTGGGACACACATATATTACAAGAGTCTTTTTTCAGTTTTATAAGTCTTTTTCAGTTTTGTGAAAATATGGAGATTGTATCACTCCAGTTTACAACTGCACCAGAGCTTGAAAGAGGGAAGTAATAACTGAAGTGATTTTATTAGTCATTGAGTTAAGATGTATTTAGGCTTTAAAAAAAGAGCAATCTAATCTAAGCTAAGCTAAGCTAAGCTAAACTAAGCTAAACTAAGCTAATCTTCTACTACATTCAGCACACTCTCTAGGGCTCAGCTAGCTATGTAGAGCATAGTGGCTTACATGGTTAGGGTGCTAGTTTGATGATCAGCTGGCTCACATTCATGATCAGGTTGCTGCTACTTGTTCACATTGGCTCTTGTCACTTTCTTCATCTCCTGCCAACAAAACAGTTTGAAAGCAGATAGCCATGTATAGTACCATTTCAATGGGAAACCTATTGAGGACATGAAAGGAGCCCCCAACTGACAATGGCAATATCACTGGTTGATCCTTTCACTATGAAAGAACTTGATTCTGATACGGAAAAAAACAAAACAAAAATACCTATCTACATGTAATGAAGAAAGGAAAGTTGATGGAGAAGAAAATTTCTTGGACATTGAAAGCTCTCTTTTATCATGTCATAAATCAGAGTTTGCAGTATTTGCAGAATGATGCCATGACATACCCAATGGCCATATGATATCACAGGGATTGTCCCTTCCCTCCAAGTATCTATTTGTATAGGACTGAAGGATTGTTGTGTCTTCTTTCAAATAAATATGTATCTCTCTGTGTGCATTTGAGAAAGGGGAGGAGAGAGAAAGAAACAGAGACAGAGACATAGATATGGGGTAAACATACAACGATTGAATTATAAATTACATGAATATATGCATGTACTTCATAAGATATCATTGTCCGTGTAGGATTAGAGATAGAAAGAGAAGAAATATGGATACAGAAATACTGTAATCTCATGTTTTTAATCTATATAACAGAACTACTTCAAGAGTAACATGGATTATGTCTAATTACACTGGTTACAATTCTGATTTATTTCCTGTGATAGAAGCAGAAGTATATTGAAGCCAGGAGTGAATGCTCAATACAAATCTGAATCTACATAGTAAAAATATAAACTGTTCAAATTGTCAGTGCAAGACTATCTACGTGTCTCTTTCTCTTAAAAGCAACAAACTTTGAAAGTGTATTTAAATTAACTAGGAGGGGGCTAGAAATCCCACTCATCAAGGGAAAACAAAACAAAAAGTTTCCTGTTGCTTCCCAGTGAATTGTTCTGTTTATCTCTGCTGAAGAAGCCCCCCCCCTTCATCATCTTGGCATCTTTACTATCTCAAAAACTCAATCTACAAAACAAGAGAGTGCTCACTGACTGTTTTCAAAAAGTCCAGGAAAAGAGACCTCCTGCCAGTTTATTACGGGTTATAAACCTATCCTCAGATATCAGCAACAACTACGAAAAGAAATAACCCTTTACTTACTGATTCTCAATACTACTTCATTACTTTCATTATCTCAAAAAATCAATTTCTTTAAAATAATTAATTTTTATCAAATGATTAATTGATTTATTGTTTTTATGGATTGGTATGATTGAGTGTTTAGTGCATATAGTGTAATTATTTAATATCTGATTAGTAAAATCAGTGATTTAGTGAATTTAATTGACTGGTGTGTTTAGTAATTACTGTAATAAATTAGGCTGTTTGGTGCTTAGCAAAATTATTTGATTAGAGTGATTTGAATAACCATTTGATTGATTGATTTTTAATAATAAGTAACCTTACTTTTGATTTGTTCTGTAACATATCAATTAATATTTATTAATTACCAATATTCATTAAGTAACTGTCTACCTATCACATTAACTAGCTATTGTAATTGATGAGTGTACTATTGCCATTGACCATGCCAGCCAAAAACTCCAAACCAAAACAAAAGAAAGATATTTCTACCAATGACCTCCTAGACTCCTGCAAACGTTTCAGATGTTTTGAAACCATCAATGAAAGTGAAATTTACATCAAATGCCACCTATTGGATAATCTAGCCCACCCTGCCTGCTTAAACGCAAACAAAAGCCTAGCTGATATGGTTAAAAATTCAGATACATTATTTTATCTATGTCCATCATGTTCTCCTAAGCTAAACAAACTGAGTACCCTCCCTGACAGAGTTGAAAGAATAGAATCACTCATTCACTCAATAGAAGAATGCTTAGCAACACAATTTGAAACAACTATACAAGCAAGCCTAATCTCTCTTGAAAAAAAAAATACAGCACAGATAAGTGAATACCTATCAGCACAAAATCAAATCCCACAACAACCACAACCACTACCTCAACTACAATCACAACTACAATCAAAAATAACCACCAAACCGCAGCCATAAACAATTACTATCCCTTTAAATAATTCCACAAATAATATCTCCTTACTCATCAGAGACACTATGGAATGTGAACAGAAATGTCCAAATGCCATCTTATTTGGTCTCGAAGACAACAACAAATCAGATGACATCACCAAAGTTCATGATATCATAAGCAACTCAAATACAACAAACATCTCTCCTGAAGATATCATTGAAATAACCAGAGATGGCCATGGGTACAATACAATGAGAGCTCTGTGGCCCCAAGATTTTGTAGAGTTGTATTGAAAAATGAGTCCAGAAAATGCATATTCATTCATACAATAAATGCCATTGTAAAAAAACCAATCCCAACCACAAAAAAACTTTGCTCAAGATGAAACTTATCCATACTGCAAAGAATCTGCTCCCGTGAACTCTGTGTAGAACTCAAAGCAATCTAGACAATGGAGAAAAGGATCAATACATTGACTACAGAGCTGATTTCATCAAAAGAAAGTCACACAACTCAAAACTCTGCATCCAACCCCACCCCATCCAATCCAACATCTCTCAAAACTAGGCATTCATGCCCCTAACTACCTCTATTCCAACCCCAATTGGCCTTTAATTCAAGCTACTCAATGCAAGAAGCCTTGTAAATAAAATACCTGAATTTCTCCTCTTACTAAATACAGCTAAATTCGACATTATATTTGTCTGTGAAACATGGCTCAACACATCTCTCCCTGACTCCATTACCACAGTAAGTGACTATCATGTTTACCGATCAGATCATAAAATCCGTAGAGGAGATGGTGTTGCTATCTTCTATAAAAGTCCCTACATCTAAAAAACATCCAAGTTACCCAGGAACTTGCTATTCCTAAGACCATTGTCTGTGAGCTGTCCTTAAATATCACATTTCGGTTCTTACTATGTTACAGAGTCCCTGATTATGACATCAAACATGCAAACAAGCTAAATTCACAACTAACATGGGCAACATCCTGCCCACACGCTTTTATCTTTCTTGGTGACTTCAATCTACCTCATATTAACTGGACCCTTAACGAATGTACAACTGAACCCACACATGCAACTTTCTACAATGCAGTAACAAATCTGGGACTAGAACAACTAGTAACCAACAACACTAGACTTAACAATTGCCTCTCTCTCATCTTCTGCAATAGTTTGAATTCAATTTACATAATACAAATTAAAGAACCCTTTTCCAACAGTGACCATAATATGATTAACTTTTTTTTATATAATTTTTTTTTATTTTTTAATAACAAGATAAACATAAGCATACATAACAAGATAAACATAAACATACCACAAAAAACATAAAAATATCCTTCTTCATGAATTTACATACAGTGCATCGATTGGTTTACCACTTTTTTTTGTGCATCCATTTCCTAGTCACTAGTATAATTATATTACATAATGGCTCATATTATCAATCAATAATTGTATAACCTAATATCATCACTAAAAAAAATGTATAATCCATTATTAATCCTCTCGCATATGCCTTCATTGTATCCCAAACATTCTGCATTGAAGTATCTTCTTTTTTATTTTCGATGAAAAAGAAGGCCAATTCTTTGCCCATCCATTGTGTAAAGTCTTTTTTCCTTTAAGATAGCGTTGTTTAATGTCCATCTAGATCTTCTTCTTTGTCCTTTCCATTTAATTGTCATAGGGTTATGGTCTGCCCATATACCCGTTTCTATATTTATTTCTTGAATGTTAGATATTAGTTCTGATGAGGTCCAAATCATATCTATTCTGGACCATGATAAATGTCTATTTGAATAAAAAGTATATTGCTGCATTTTACCATTTCTTTCTCTCCATATATCTTTTAAATTTAATTCATCTACCATTTTCAAAAAGGATTTAGGGAGAGTCTTTCTATTTTGTTTTAATGCTGTCGCTGTATAGTCCAATTTATTATCTACAATTCCATTAAAATCTCCCATCATAATTATATTGACATGGTCCAGTCCAATTGATTTCATATGTAACTTTTTATAAAATTCTTCTTGTTTATCGTTCTGAGCATAAATTGCAACAAGTAGTATTTTTATATTGTTATCCACTATTTCAACCATTAATACTCTTCCATCTTCATCAGTATAAATCAATTTTGCTGCAATAGTTTCTTTAATGTATAGGACCACTCCTCTTTTCTTACAGTTAGTCAAGGAAGTAAAAATTTTCCCAAGTTTTGGTCTTACCAATAATCGTTGATGTTGTTTTTTAATATGTACTTCTTGTAGGCAAATTATATCAAATTTTGACTTCTCTAATTTATGAAAGATTTTTCTTCTTTTAATAGCTGAGTTCAATCCATTTATATTCATAGAAATCATTTTTTTTCCTCCATGGTTATGTTTTATATTTAGGTCTAACAGTTCTTGTAGATCTTACTTCACGTTGTTCTTTGGTCTCCATTTGTCCACCTACCGCACCTTCTTCTTTCCCCGTTCTCATCTGGTCTTCTTGGGGCTCAATTGAAATGGTCTCTTTTTCTATCTCTATTTCTCTTCTTCCAAAAAATTCATTGTGGAATATTTCTGCTTTCTCAATTGAGTCAATTCTGTGTCTCTGTTCTTGCCATATAAACATTAATCCTTCTGGGATCAACCATCTATAATTCACGTCTTTTTCCAATAATTTTTTGGTCAAAAATCGATATTCTCTTCTCATCTCTCTCACTCTTCTGGGCATTTGTTTTAAAACCATAATCTCTTTACCTTTATATTTCAACCCCTTATCTCTTGTGACTTGTAATATTTGTGTTTTAATAGTCTTTTTAGTAAATCTGACATGGATCTCCCTTGGTAGCTTATTCCTCATCGCATATCTTGTGAAAACGCGATATATCTCATCTACTCCGTCCATCATCTTTTCCTCTTTTATCTCCAAAGCTCCAGCCAGAATTTCTATCATTACAGCCGTCAAATCTTGTCCTTTTTCTTCCTCAATATTTTGAAATCTGAGATAGAACTCTGACCTATCCATCTCCCACTTCAACATCCCAGTTATATCTTGTTGCACCGTTGTTAATTTGCTAACAATATTTCCAATTGTCTCATCTCTTTGTTTATCTTTCTCCTCAATTTTTCGGAGTCTCTCCTCCTGTTTTGCCATCATTTGTTGGAAATTTTCAATTTTTTCATCAGTCTTTGCAATTCTTTGTTCAATACTCTCTGTTCTTTGGTCAATACTTGTTTTGAGTTCTTGCATTCCTTGTATAATCGTCGCTAGATCCATTTGTACTTTATCTTGCTTCGCCATTATTGATAGTCGTCCTCCAGTTGATGGAGAAGCAGGAGCAGAAGTTGAACTGCCAGAAGGTAAAGTTTTCTTACTCATTTGAATAACTCAGGATCTTTCAGCTCCTTTAATCCAATTAATAGGGTAGCCAATTATAATCCAATTGGGAAGAAGAAAAACATTTTTTTAAAAAAAGCCAGTAAAAAATACAGAATCCAGGATTAAAAAGAGAAGGAGAAAAAGAAGATTAAAAAGAAAAAGGAGGAGATTCTTCAGGTTCTTCTAAACCTTAATCCTATTGTAGAATAGTCAATTATGATTCAAAAATAAAAATTAAGAATAGTAAAAAAGAAAAAGAGAGTAAGACCCAATAATATTAAAAAGCAGTGATCAAAAAAAAGTAAAGGAAAAAAGAAAGAATTCTTCAGGTTCTTAACACCTTAGTCCAATTATAGGGTCTCAAAAAATAAAAAAAATAACCATAAAAATAAATAAGAAATGAAAATAGAAAGTAGAAAAGGCAAAAATCCCAATAAGCAAAAAGAAAAAGGAAAACTATTCTGAGGCTTTCCCTTTAAAAAAAAATGTAAGTTTAAAAATTAAAAATAAAGTCAAACAAAAGAAAAAGAAAATAGATATACAAATATTACAAAATACTGTGGGATTGAAGAGGAGGGATGAAACAGCTAAAGGAAGATAAAAAATAAAGCACACTGCATCTTATTTAGTTATCCAAGGCTCTTATTATGGCTTCTCCACAAATTCCAAAGCCAAACTTCAAGTACTCAATAATAGAAGTTCCAAAGAACACCTGTTAAAACATTCTCCAGTGTTCTTCCCTCTATCTAATCAAGTTCCAGTGTCCTTGAGAAAGGATTCCTTCACAGCTCTTTCAACTTCCAATAAAGTATCTTCAAGCCTCTAGTGGGCAGTGTTACAAAGTTTCTTTAATCCACTCCCCCTTCCTTCCCAAAAAAGCCTAATAAAAAAAGGGAGATATACATGTATATATGTGTATTTAAGAAAAATTTTTTTACTAAAGGGAGCCTCTATTCTAAAAAAAACTATTAACAGTCAAAAGGGGGAAAAAAGAAAGAAAAATTAGGTGAATATAAAAGGAAAAACCAGGCTAGTTACAGTTACTAGATCACAATGGAAGTTCAATGAAAGCAAAAGTAAAAGTAAAAAGCCAAGCCTCAATTTGACATTCTCTTTAAGAAATCGCCGCTAAATCAGTTTCATCAGTTTTTGTCCAAAGTCTTACAGGATTGTTCTCCTTTTAGAGTGTCCTTGAGTCCCCGAGAAAAAAAAATAATTCTCACTCCTTCTGCCTCTTCCTTCCGGAGCTGTCACAGCTTCAGCAGCTTAAAGGCTGCCTCTCCGCCGATGGTGAAAGGGCTTCTTCTGGATCAGCCAGGGACTTTGCGATGTCCCTGGGATAGCAGAACGCGCCCCTTACTATCACCGTCTCTACGGGACAGTTTAGGTCCATTAGGACCGACCAGGGGCAAAGATAGCAGCTGCAATCTCAGAGCCCCAAGATTGCAGCTGTATCGCAGCGACGTGGCTCCGCCTTCTCCCATAATATGATTAACTTTTGTCTCAAAATACGTCCACACAAAAATCATCACAATGACAGAATCCCCAATTCTAACTTCAAAAAAGGCAACTATGATCTTATAAACAATGATCTCTCATCCCTTGATTGGCAATTTCTATTCACTGGATGCAATACTATAGAAGACCATTACAACATATTTTTACTTGAAATCAAAAGAGTCATCAAACTATATGTACCATTAAAAACTTCCAAAACTAGAAAAAACAAATTACTCAAAACAATAAGGAAGCTTCAATCCAAAAAGAAATCACTTTGGTGGAAAAACATATCTGGTTACGTTGCAAAGTTCAAAAGCAGATACTAAAATTTATGCCACCAGATAAAAACTGAATGCACCAATTATCACATTAAACCAGAAGAAAACCTTCCATGCACCAATTCCACCCACACTTTCTACAATTTGTAAACAACAAACTGAAAGACTCAAGGTTCATCCCACCCCTGAACAGACCTAATGGTAAAGACTGCAATGACAACACTATTAAAGCCAACCTCTTTAACACATTCTTTGGCTCAGTATTTGTAAACAGCAATGGATCATGCCCAGTATTTCCTAGTCGAGCCACAGACAACTACAATGATCTAATACACATCAATTTTATAGAAAGACAATGTTGAAAAAGCACTACACAATCTAAAACCATCTCTATCTATTGGACCAGATGGAATATGTGCCTACTTCTTAAAAAAGTTACCCACTGCCATAGCCAAACCTCTTAGCATAATCTTTGAAAAATCTTTCAGGACCAGCTCCTTGCCATAACTATGGTCACAAGCCATGGTCATCTCCATCTTCAAAAAGGGAGACCCCAGCCTAGTTAAAAATTACAGACCAATCTCTTTATGCTGCATCACCTGTAAAGTCATGGAATCAATTATTTACCAATCCATCATCCTCCACTTAGAAACAAACAACCTACTCTCTAATAAACAATTTGGTTTCAGGAAAAAACTATCATGTAATCTGCAACTCTTACACTGCAAAAATATATGGACTACACAACATGATCAGGGCAAAGCAATAGACACAATCCTGAAAGACTTCTGTAAAGCCTTTGATTCAGTGGTACATGACAACTACTCCTAAAACTAAAATCTTATGGTATCTCTCTACACCTGAATAACTGGATAGAAGCATTCCTGTCAAACAGACAACAAATGTTCAAATTGGGAGTGTCCTATCAAATTCTGTACTTGTCAACAGTGGTGTCCTTGAAGGCAGTGTTCTAGGACCATACTCTACATAAATAACCTCTGTGATCATATCAAGTGCAACTGTGTTCTCTTCGCTGATGATGTAAAGCTATTTAATACCACAGACAATATTGTTACCCTTCAAAAAGATCTTGACTATGTATCAGAATGGTCAAACAAATGGCAACTTCAAATCTCAACAAATAAATGCTCTGTCCTACATATTGGCAAAAAAAATCAGAAAATAAAATACAGGCTGAATAGTCAAGACCTTGCTGATGATCCAAACTCTATCAAGGATCTTGGAATACTCATCTCAAATTATCTAAGTGCTAGAGCCCACTGTAAATAGCCAAAAAGGCATTAAGAGTTGTTAACCTAATCTTACATAGCTTTTTCTTTGGTAATATTACACTAATAACTAGAGCATACAAAACATTTGCTAGACCAACACTCGAATACAGCTCATCAGTCTGGAACCCACATTACGTATCTGATATTAGCACAGTTGAGAAAGTCCAGAAATATTTCACAAGAAGAGTTCTCTACTTTTTTACTCGTTGCAGAATACCTTATGCCACCAGACTTGAAATCCTGACCTAGAAAACCCAGAACTATGCCGCCTTCAGTCCGATCTAGGTATAGTATATAAAATCATACATTGCAATGTCCTACCAGTCAATGAATACCTCAACCATAACAACACAAGAGCAAACAATAGATACAAACTCAAGGTTAATTGCATCAAAATTGATTGCAGGAAATACGACTTCAGCAACAGAGTTTCTGGAATACTCTACCTGACTCTGTTTTTTTCCCCAAATCCCCAAAACTTTAACCTTAGACTGTCTACTATTGACCTGACCCCTTTCCTAAGAGGTCTGTAGGGGGCGTGCATAAGCGTACCAACATGCCTACCATCCCTGTCCTATTGTTTCTTTTATTTTTTTTTAATTTTCCTTATATGTATCCATATCTTATATGTATTCATAACTATGGTTTTACTTATACCTATTATCTTGTAAGCAATTGACAAATAAAAAATAAAATAAAAGAATTATTTAATAGAAGAAAGGTATAAGAATATGTTTTAATGTCTTTTCATTCATTTCTTTTTTTTCCTTACTTTTCTTTTTTCCTTAATTTCTATCTTTATTTACTTTTGTATACTTTTAATGCATTGAATATATGAATGTGTGTTTGTGTGTGTGTTTACATACACAAATCCAAATAGTCGGGAACTCCAGATCTTAGGGGCAGCTAATCTCATTTCAGAGGCTATTACTCATTTCAGAGTTCTGTAGTTACTACTCTAAACAATTATTTCAAAGAAATAAATTGGGAAGAATCATAAAGTGTTATAAACATTTGTGTTGTACTCTAAAACTTTTTGAAAAAATATAGAATTCACAATTGGTAACTATTCCCCATCTCACTGTAATTATGAAATGACCATAATTAAAGTTATACAGTAATGTCGGGTTTACGAATATTCCTTCAGGTTAGGAGAATAGGTGTACAGTCAAGTATATTAATGTTTCCGGTTTTATTGAACTGAAAAACAATCCCTTTAATCAGGGATGAGACAGGCAGAACTACACAACTAGAATTAATGGTAGTTGTTTCTATAGGATTCTGACTTTCAGTCACCTGAGTGATGTCTTGTGAATTACCAATGTTAAAAAAATTAGTGAGCGGTAAGACTATTTGGAGCAAAGCGAGAAGACTCTCAGATAAAGTCATATCATTTTTGGCTTTGATGATAGTCCTAGTAGTTGCACTTCAAGCTCAGAGAAATATTCCTCTGGTTAAATGTCCTATTAGAGCACCTCTGCCTATTCTCCACAAGTATTACCAGCCTGATGATTTCATCATTGCTAGCATTACATCCCAGGTATACATTTTTCAAGTCCAGTAACATTTCAGAAGCCACCTTCGGAGGAAACTTTTGATGACCTTTTGTAAGTACCTTAGTCTTAAAAATAAAATGCATCTTCTAAGTGGACAGATAGATTTCATGCTTGTTAACTTACTGTAGAGATTTCCTCTATAACTCCAACATGGGGATGAAAAGAAGAGGATGACAGATTTTATTCAACATTTTGGAATATAAATATTTGTATGTACTTATCCTTGAAAATTGCAAATTGCACAAGATATGATAGTATACCCAGAACTTGGTTTCTGAGCTTGTTTGTTTTCTTTCAGATGTTTCATAACCCAAGCTAGGTAGAAGTTTCACTAATGAAACATCTGAAAGAAAACACCAAGGTCAGAGATCACCAAGGATCCCTCCTCTGCTATCTTTTAATTAATCTAAATCTTTCCAAGTGGATGATCTGATATAAATTACAATTTCATTTTTTAGAAAAATTCTGTGCAGCGGTTACATACTCTTGTCTCAGTTTCTACTGCTTTCACAGAAATATGTTTCTTGTAGACAAAAATGTGCCTTTTGCTTTTTTTAATATATAAAACATTATATTTTAATTTTGTGATGAATTTAATTTATTGGCATCGATTGTCCCTGTTAATGTATGTATTATATATTATATTAAAAATGGTGTCTTTCAAACATAGTCCATACAATAAGTCTCCAATTTTCATTGGGTCAGTTGTGAGAAATGCCTAGATAGAATTAGTAATAAGATGAAAAAAATATGGTAACCTGGAACCTATTGATCATAACCTAGGATGTTCACTCAGAATTACCAGCACATCCTGGCCTTGGAATTTGCTGTGAAGCATCTTGGTGAGAATCCCCAAATCTTATTCAATGTCAGTTTGGGCTTCCATATCTTAAACAGCTATTTTTTGGCAAGGTGGACCTATCTTGCTTCCATGGAACTTCTATCCACTCAGGACAAGTTCAACCCTAACTACAAATGTGATATTCAGAATAGGATTGTGGGAGCCATTGGGGGACCTACTTCTGAAGTCTGTCTCCATATGACAAACCTTTTGAGCACCTACAAGATTCCACAGGTAAAAAATGATGAAAGATTCTAGTTCATTATTTTTAATATAGTTTTGTAAAAGAAAGATAGAAAATGGAAATCTTATTGGTTTGCTAGGCAATTTATTTATGAAGTACTGAGAAAGTAATTAATCAGCCTATATTTGGGTGCTGAAAATTTTGGGGAACTGTGCTGTAATTATTATAAATGAGAATATTTTCCAGTAATACATATATACATCAATATACATTCAACATTTACTGAGAATCACTGATCAGGAGCTTTTGAAAAAGGTTTTGGGAAATCAAAATGCATGTGTAAAGATTGAAATCATTAGTGTTCAATAGTAAAAATCTCAACAAAGTATTTTAGTTCCATGGTCTAGAAAAAAATATACTGCTTTGGAGATTTATCATAATAAATATTTGAATTATTATAAAAGTATATAAGGTAAAGTATGAAAAGAAAAAATATTGAAAACTATTCTAGTGATTTCTTTTTCTACTAAAAGTATGAGAAGATTCAATTTTTATTGTTACTGAGCTCTTCCCATTTTAATTTAATTTAATTTATTTTTTAGTAAGATCTTATATGGGTCATCTCCAATAATAAATGAAAAAACCAAAGATTTTTTTCACCAAATGTTTCCAAGTGGGACTCATCAATATTTGTGCATTCTAGAGTTACTACTGCATTTCAAATGGACCTGGATGGGTGTGATTGTTTTTGATGATGACAACAGATATGTTTTTGTACAGGATATACTTCCCTTATATTCTCAGAAGCGTGTCTGTGTGGACTTCTTAGAACCCATGCCCTAAACATATTTTTTCAGGTGACATTGCTGAAACTGCAACAGAATAGTTTGCAACTTCACATATTGTCACAGGAACTACTGCCAATACTGTTATCATTCAGGGTGAAGTAAATCCTATGAGTGCCTTAAGAAGAATTTTCCACTTTTCACAATTTTATGATGTAACTATTGAAAGCCAAGTGTGGATTATGACAGCCCAGATGGATTTTGTTATGTCCTGAGGACACTAGGAGTTCTCACTCAGGTCCACTCACTTTGCGTGGGCGTTCTTTCCCCTCTCCTCATTGGTTGATCCTCTCCTGCAGCCAGCTATAAAAGCAGGCTGCGGGGTCCAACCAGTTGCTGATTGCTGCGAGCCAGTTCCAGGCGTGGCAAGCACGGTCAGCCCTTTATTATTAAATAAAGTATTGTTGCACTCATGCTCTGGTTCAGCCTCTCATTGCTCAAACTTAACACTGGCGACGAGGGTGGGATGGCGACTAGAAGCACCATGCAACCGCTGAGTCACTAGTCACCGATCCGCAGCCCAGAGAGAGCGATCGGTCGACTACAAGGGAAACGCTGACCGCAGCCAGAGAGAGCGGTCAGCCAACAAAAGAGCGAACGTTGATCCGCAGCCAGAGAAAGTGGTCTGGTTCGAAAGTTAGAAGCGTCTGTAGCCACTTGTTAGCCCAGCTACGGGGAAAGTGAAGCGCTGCGAGCCGCAGTCGCTCAGTATTAGGCGCGAAATTCAAACGGGTGTCATTTGAATTTCAAACCAAGAGAGACACAGCACAGCGCTGTAGTAAGTCACTAACGCCCACACTGGCACGAATCTAGACACCTCCAACGGCTAACAGCCAACGTGGTTAACCCAGAGAGAAAGAGAGGATAGCAAAAAAAACCTCTCCAGAGCTGATTTCACTTGCAACCCACGAGCGCCCGTTGTCCCCAGAGAGATTTTTTTCTGCAGGTAGCCCAGCCATTTCCAGCACCATGAGTTCCAACCCAGTATTCCCGGCGTTCAAACCAGACGAAGAGAAGTGGGAATCGTATAAGAACCGCTTCAACCATTACATCGATGCGGTCGGCCTGGCGGATGCGGGAGAGCATCGGAAAAAATCCTATTTCCTAATCTACTGCGGAGCCACCGTTTACGATACTGCCGCAGCACTCGTAGCTCCTAGAGAGTTGAAAAACGTTCCGTGGTCCGAGTTGCTTGAGATCCTCACTAAACACTACGGTCCCAGGCCTTCACAGATCGCCAGGAGGTTCACTTTCCGTATGAGGAAGCAATCGAGTAAGGAGACCATCAATCAATATATGGCCGCCCTCAGAACAGCAGCTCTGCACTGCGGGTTTGGAACATACCTGGAGGACATGCTCCTCGATCAATTAGTTTGTGGGGTCAAGGACCTCAACCTACAGAGGCGCCTTCTAGCAAAAAAAGACCTCAACCTCGCACAAGCGGTCGAGGAGGCCCTGGCAGCCGAGCTGGCAACGAACTCAGCCACCAAAATACAGGGCCCGAGCGCCAAGCTGGCATCGTTCCCAGTCCATTCCGAGGAGGTAGTAGCAGAGGAAACCCTCAACGATGAAAACGACGTTAACCGCCTCGCCTACGACAAACGGCCGCAGGTAGGGGCCAAACAAGAAAACACCGGTCCACCCAAGCACATCACGCTGTGCCTAGCCTGTCAGGGATCGCATCATAGGGCCACCTGCAAGTTTAAAGGAGCCACCTGTAACAACTGCCATAAAAGGGGGCACATCGCGAGAGTCTGCCAAACCCCCCAAAGCGCTGCACACAGACTCCCTCCCTCGTACTCGGGACCTCAGAGGCAAGTATTAAACTGTCGCACGCACCACCTTGCCAAGCGTACTTGCCACACTGTTAGTAAAATTTCTCTCTCCGTTTCCCTAGAAGGTAAACCGTGCCACATGGAGGTTGACACAGGGTCAGCGCTCTCAATAATTTCGTGGAACACCCTCAAGAGACTCCACCCCGGCCTATCTACCACCCGGCTTCAAAGATGCGAGTTCGGCCTGAAGGACTACCAGGGGAAGACCATTCCTGTGATCGGCAGAGGCAAGTTCTTTGTCAGTTTTAGAACTTTTAAAGGTCACCTACCTCTAGTGGTAGTTAACGGCAATTTACCCACCTTATTGGGGCTCGATTGGTTTCCCCACCTTGGCCTAGGGCTAACAGGAGTCCATGCTGTCTCAACCTTAGACACTGACTCCTTATTCGATGATTTCGCAGATGTGTTCAGCGAAGAGCTGGGGTGTTATAACAGAACCCCCATCTCATTCACAGTCGACCCCCAGGCAGTCCCAATCAGACTAAAACCACCTAGAGTTCTATTTGCTATTCGACCAAAACTAGACGCTGAATTGGATAAACTATTAAAACAAGGGGTCATTGAGCCAACAGATTTCGCCAAGTGGGAGACGCCCATTGTCACACCCCTCAAAAAAGATGGTAGCCTGAGAATTTGCTCGGACTACAAGACAACAATCAATAAATATTTACAAGTTAGCACCTATCCTGTGCCCGTCATTCAGCACTTATTGCACACATTCGAGCCGGGCAGTATTTTCGCTAAATTGGACATGTCTCAAGCGTATCAGCAGTTCCCTGTTGATAACCAAACAGCGGAACTTCAGACCATCGTCACTCACAGGGGTGCCTTCCGATGCAAGCGTCTCCAATTTGGCGTAAGTGTTGCCCCAGGGATTTTTCAGTCCCTCATGGAGCGGATTTTACAGGGCCTCCCTGGTGTAGTACCCTACTTCGACGACATCTTGGTCTCGGCCAGGGACAGACCCCAACTCTTCCAGAGAGTGCGAGCAGTGCTAGAGAGGTTCAGACAGCATGGCCTCAAATTAAAAAAAGAAAAATGCGCCATTGCCACTAGACAGGTGGACTTTCTGGGTTATAAAATTGACGCCTCTGGCATTCACCCCCTGGAGTCCAAGGTCAGGGCAATCCACGAGGCTCCCACTCCAACCTCCAAAACGGAGCTGCAAGCTTTCTTGGGGCTGCTGAACTTTTACGCATCCTTCTTGCCCCACAAAGCCTCAGTAGCCGAACCCCTTCACAGATTATTGGACAAAAAGTCACCGTGGCACTGGGGGCACAAAGAAGACCAGGCGTTTAACGCCGTCAAATCACTACTCACGTCAGAGGAGGTGCTTATCCAATTCGACCCTAACCTTCCTTTAGTACTGGCAGCAGACGCATCCCCTTTTGGAATTGGGGCGGTCCTTAGTCACAGACTTCCCAATGGCGCCGAGGCTCCCATCGCCTTTTTCTCAAGGACGCTCTCGGCCACGGAACGCAATTACAGCCAGATCGACAAGGAAGCCCTAGCAGCTGTTGCGGCCGTGAAAAAGTTTCACGAATTCCTTTTTGGCCATTTTTTCGAACTGGTTACGGACCATAAGCCCCTCCTGGGCCTACTGGCCGGGGACAAACAGACCCCTCAGGTCCTTTCCCCTAGAATGACAAGGTGGACACTCTTCCTAGCGGCCTACTCCTACAAATTTATTCACCGCCCGGGCAAAACACTGTCCCACGCCGACGCTCTCAGTCGCTGCCCCTTACCCGCTCCGGCTGAAGACCCCGCTCCTGTCAACGCCATTTTCGAGATCACCCAGTTGGACCTGCCCATCGCCGCCCTTGACATCGCCGCCAAAACCAAGGCAGACCAAACGCTCGCCCAGGTGCTCGACTGGGTGAGGAGGGGGTGGCCGGGTGGCATCGTTGATAACAAATTAACTCCATTTAAGACTCGCATGCAGGAGCTGTCTAGTTTGCAGGGTTGTCTACTATGGGGCACTCGAGTGGTCATTCCGACCTCGCTGCGTACCCGAGTCCTGGAGGCGTTGCACGAAGGACACCCTGGCATCGTGAGAATGAAAGCATTAGCACGCAGCTACGTGTGGTGGCCGGGTCTAGACGAGGACATAGTCAATTGGGTAAGTTCCTGCAACATCTGTCAGGAATCCCGTCCTGCTCCCCCCATTGCCACCCCTACCAGATGGGAGAGCGCCAGCGGCCCTTGGTCTAGAATCCATATCGATCTGGCCGGCCCCTTGCATGGGAAGATGTTCCTAGTGGTCGTGGACGCTTATTCCAAATGGATTGATGTAGCACAGCTATCCACGACCACCACACTAGCAATCACCAACGTGTTAACGCGCCTGTTCGTTACGCATGGGCTACCCGACTCCATCGTCTCCGATAATGGCCCACAGTTCGCATCAATAGAGTTCAGCCGTTTTGCTGCCAACCTGGGCATCCGCCACATTTTCACAGCCCCATTTCACCCTGCCAGTAATGAGTTGGCGGAAAGAGCCGTCAGGACCACCAAAGAAGGCCTCGCCAGGTTCAGCAGGGATGACTGGCACCACAAACTCTCACGGTTCCTGATGAGCCAGCACTCAACCCCCTGCTCAGTCACCAATAAGTCCCCAGCGGAGCTCCTGATGGGCCGGCGCCTGAGGACTGTATTGGACAGACTTCACCCCAATTACTGCCCTGACTCTCCCCTCGTTTCCACTTCGGGGGTTAGACATTTTATGTTACAGGAGCCTGTATTCGCGAGGAATTTCGCAGGAGACCCACTATGGATGCCAGGCGAGATCATCGCCATCACTGGGCCGAGATCGTATAGGGTCAGGCTGGAGGATGGTCGCGTCTGGAGGAGGCACATAGATCAACTACGGAGGCGCCACAGCACCCTTGCCAGCAGAAGTCCAGAATCACCAGACGAAGGGGAACCGCCTCATCCGCCTCTCAGCCTCATCGCTCCCAATGTCCAGTCCACACCAACAGCCGTCCCGGTCAGCCCGAACTCGGACAACAGCGCCCCGAGAGTTGACCAGCCTGATCCAGCCCACGGGAACTCGACCCCAGTATCCAACCCTGTGAGTCCCGAGGATGCCCAATCCGGGGAGCGCGTGGGCGACACGCTGCCGGCTCAACCATCACAGACTGATTCTGAACGGACAGACAATGCTCCCGAGCTGCGCCGTTCTGGGCTCCAACACAAACCCCCCGTCTACCTCAAGGACTATGCATGTTCGCATCTGGGGGGAAGGGGTGTTATGTCCTGAGGACACTAGGAGTTCTCACTCAGGTCCACTCACTTTGCGTGGGTGTTCTTTCCCCTCTCCTCATTGGTTGATCCTCTCCTGCAGCCAGCTATAAAAGCAGGCTGCGGGGTCCAACCAGTTGCTGATTGCTGCGAGCCAGTTCCAGGCGTGGCAAGCATGGTCAGCCCTTTATTATTAAATAAAGTATTGTTGCACTCATGCTCTGGTTCAGCCTCTCATTGCTCAAACTTAACAGATTTTGCATCTCCTGTTTTTTTAAGAGATTGGGACATACATTTCCTTCATGGGGCTCTGTCCTTTGCTGTTCATTCAAATCATCCTAGAGGATTCCAGCAATTTTTAAAGGAAAGAAAACCTGCTTTAGGAACTGGAGATGGGTTTATCCGAATCTTCTGGAAAGATGTATTTAGTTGTGATTTCTCAGATTCCAGTCTACCACAGAGAAATGAGAAGACCTGCACTAAAGAAGAAAAATTGGATAGTCTACCTGTAACCCTATTCGACATAAGCATGTCTGGCCACAGTTATAGTATCTACAATGCAGTTTACATTATGGCATATGCTTTGTATGCCATAATTTCATCCAAGTCAAAAGAGAGGACAATGATAAAAAACAGGAGACAACAATATCTGCTTGAAGACCTCTGGCAGGTATCTACTAAGAAAAGCTCTTTGTTTAGATAATTAACTGCATCACAACATATAATATTGAGACAAATTATTAGAGATACCACTTAGACTTATAAACCACTTCACAGTGCTTTAACGTCATATTAATGTAATTCAATATCACCAGAAATGCCAGGAAAGCAAATTAAAACAGATATGAAAGAAAAACTCCTCATTGTTTTTATTGAATTACAATTAATAAATATTATCAAGTTCTTAATATAAATTCAAGTTACACAGAAAAAAATAGAAATACCAAGATACTACTAAAATGTAAATAAATAGATGTAGAACATATACAGATTAATCAGATTAACCATACAAAGTATTGAAGTATTGACTCTATTGCTATTGAGGTAAACCATACAATCCATCAAAATTTGATGAAATTATGATTGCTGACACTGATATCTCATTATTTTAACTGTGTTATTTTTAGCAATACCAGCAATAGTTAGCAATAGGATTTATACTTATATATCACTTTACAGTGCTTTACATCCCCCTCTAAGCTGTTTATAGAGTCAGCATATTGCCCCTAACAATCTGGGTTTCTGCTTTACTGATATTGAAAGACTGGAAATGTAAGTCAACCTTGAGCTGGTGAGAATCGAATTGCCGAACTGCTGACAGCTGGCAGTCAGCAGCACTACTGCATTCTTACCATTGTGTTACCATCACTCTTAAAGGAGATATTGCCCACTCAGAAAATAAATGTAAAAGAGGCAATAAAAATAAATAAATAAAAAGAAGTTATTCCCTTAACTTGTAAATATTTATCACAAACCATGAGGTGTAATGTTGGCTGCTTTTTGGAGAAAATTGCAAAAATTAAGGGAATATCACTTTGTTTAAATAATTAAAGAACACATTTCTCTTTCTGTTTTTTTCTTCTTACTTTTTAAATATATAGAAATACATATTCAGAATGTTAAGAAGAGATGAAATATGTAAAATGTTATATATTTCTCTACACAAAAGTTTTTATTTTTATTTTCAGTGTGTAGCCATGTTTCCATTACTGTAAAGACAGTACAAACCTTTCCTACTATTAATGGGTTATAATTTTATAATATCTTTATTACATTATTAAGTTAAACACTAAAATATAAACTAACAAAACATAAAGAGCCTCGGTGGAGCAGCGATTAGAGTACAGTACTGCAAACTACTTCTGCTGGCAGCCAGCTGCCTGCAATTTGGCAGATTGAATCCTACCAGGCTTAAGGTTGACTCAGCCTTCCATCCTTCTGAGGTGGGTAAATCAAGGGCCCAGATTGTTGAGGGCAATAGGATGACTCTGTAAACCACTTAGAGAAGTACTGTAAAGAGGTATATAAATCTAAGTGCTATTACTATAAAAGGAAAAAAGAGAAGGGAATAATAAAAAAACAGGATCCATAATATAATTTTCTCTAAATATTAACATAACACAAAGACAATTGTCAAATGTAAACAAGCATATATTTAAATGCTCTCATTTTTTCCCAGAAAAATCCAACCTAATCCTCAAATTCCAAAGTCAAAATTTGATTATATTTTTGAATTATAAATTTTCCTCTACCAAAATTTGATTTGGAAATTGCCGATTTTGATAACATTTTTTTCTTATAGAAAGGGAGAAAGACAGCACTCTCTGGGCTTGCTTGTTTTCTTGCTTGTCTTTCATTACCCAAACAAGGTATCATCAGTGCTCATTCATCTTGTTTTAAATTGTGTTAGGATTATTATAAATGTTCTCCACGATCTCATTTCTTCTCTATCTTCTCCTCAATTCAGCTCCACAAGTTTATAAGAAATACTTTCTTTAAAAACAGTGCTGGAGAAAATATTTCCTTTGATGACAAAGGCCATTTAATTTCTGGATTTGATATTTTTAACTGGGTCACATATGAAAATAATACATTTACAAAAGTCAAAGTTGGATGGGTAGACCCAAACCCTTCTTCTTCTAAATCTCTCACTATTCATGAGGACTCCATTGTATGGCCGACAAGACTTAACCAGGTATATATTTTGTACAGATAACCTATATTTTTGTATGTATGTTGTATGTATGTATATACTTCTGTTTTGAATTTGGTATGCTATATAGTTTAATGTACAATTATATGACAGTATCTTGACAACATTCTGAATAATATGCCACTCAGATATTTCTCAAAATGCTTGACATTCTAAAGGACTCCATTTTATGGACAAGAAAAATTAAATGGGTGAATACAATATTTTGAACCCAATTTTGAACCACATTCTGAATATTGAAACTGATGTTCTACTCTTCGAACTGTAACATCAATTACCATTTTGAGATACTGAAATCATGTTTTGAATTAAATAGCTCTAAAAAGTGGTATGTGATTCTTATTGAGAATTGGAAGAGTTGACTAAGTGAAAACTCCTGGATTGTAAAAAAAATATTGGAAGACAATAGCAAAATACTTCAATGCTGTTGTTGAGAAGCTGACTTTGGTAGTAAGTCGAATGAGGCCATTATCTTAGATAATTGACCAATGTCTGAGGTAAATTAAACCTGTTTCCTGCTCATTGCTTAGTGTGCAGATCCAAGATGAATACTATCTGGAAATGCTTGTCACAGCACCTATACCTACACCATAATAGTAATCTGACAATGTCTCATTTTCAACAATAAATATAGAAAAGATGTATCTATATATTATAATATAATATATATTTAGCATATAATATAATATATACTGCTCAAAAAAATTAAGGGAACACTTAAACAACACAATGTAACTCCAAGTCAATCATACTTCTGTGAAATCAAATTGTCCACTTAGGTAGCAACACTGATTGACAATCAATTTCACATGCTGTTGTGCAAATGGAATAGACAACAGGTGGAAAGCATAGGCAGTTAGCAAGAATTCCCCAATAAAGGAGTGGTTCTGCAGGTGGTGACAACAAACCACTTCTATGTTCCTATGCTTTCTGGCTGATGGTTTGGTCACTTTTGAATGGTGGCAGTGCTTTCACTCTAGTGGTAGCATGACACAGAGTCTACAACACACACAAGTGGCTCAGGTAGCGCAGCTCATCCAGGATGGCACATCAATGCGAGCTGTGGCAAGAAGGTTTGCTGTATCTGTCAGCGTGGTGTCCAGAGGATGGAGGTGCTACCAGGAGACTGGCCAGTACATCAGAAGACATGGAGGAGGCCGTAGGAGGGCAACAACCCAGCATCAGGACCGCTACCTCTGCCTTTGTGCAAGGAGGGACAGGAGCAGCACTGCCAGAGCCCTGCAAAATGACCTCCAGCGGACCACAAATGTGCATGTGGCTGCTCAAATGGTCAGAAACAGACATCATGAGGGTGATATGAGGGCCTGACGTCCACTTGTGGGGGTTGTGCTTACAGCCCAACACCGTGCAGGATGTTTGGCATTTGCCAGAGAACATCAAGATTGGCAAATTTGCCACTGGAACCCTGTGCTCTTCAAAGATGAAAGCAGGTTCACACTGAGCACATGTGACAGATGTAACAGGGTCTGGAGATGCCATGGAGAATGTTCTTGCTGCCTGCAACATCCTCCAGCATGACCAGTTTGGCAGTGGGTCGGTAATGGTGTGGGGTGGCATTTCTTTAGAGGGCCGCACAGCCCTCCATGTGCTTGCCAGAGGTAGCCTGACTGTCAATAGGTACTGAGATGAGATCCTCTGACGCCATATGCTGGTGCAGTTGGCCCTGGGTTCCTCCTAATGAAAGACAATGCTAGACCTCATGTGGCTGGAGTGTGTCAGCAGTTCCTGCAAGGTGAAGGCATTGATGCTATGGACTGGACTGCCTGCCCATTCCCCAGACCTGAATCCAATTGAGCACATCTGGGACATCATGTCTCTCTCCATGCACCAATGCCACATTGCACCACAGACTGTCCAGGAGTTGGGGAATTCTTTAGTCCAGGTGTGGGAGGAGATCCCTCAGGAGACCATCTGCCACCTCATCAGGAGCATGTCCAGACATTGTAGGGAAGTCGTACAGGCACGTGGAGGCCACACACACTGCTGAGCCTCATTTTGACTTGTTTTAAGGACATTACATCAAAGTTGGATCAGCCTGTAGTGTTTTTTTCCACTTTAATTTTGAGTGTAACTCCAAATCCAGACCTCCATGGGTTGCTAAATTTGATTTCCATTGATAATTTTTGTTGACTTTGTTATCAGCACAGTCAACTATGTAATGAACAAACTTTTAATAAGAATATTTCATTCGTTCCAATCTAGGATGTCTTATTTTTGTGTTCCCTTTATTTTTTTTGAGCAGTGTATTATATATTTATATATAATATATTTAAATTTCAGCAAAGCATTCAACAAAGTAGACCACAACCTACTTCTTAGTAAGCTAGAAAAAAGTGGAATAGATAGCTCCACCACTAGGTGGAATCACAACTGGCTGGCAAACCGTACTCAATGAGTAGTCCTTAATGGGTCTAAGTCTACATGGAGGGAAGTAAGCAGTGGGGTGCCACAAGGTTCCGTCTTAGGCCTAATACTCTTCAATATCTTCATTAACGACTTAGATGAGGGAATAGAAGGGGAACTTACCAAATTTTCAAATGATACTGGAATAGCTAACACCCAAGATGGATCTGGACAGACTAGAACACTGGGCTATAACTAACAAAATGAAATTCAATGTAAAAAAAAGTAAAGTCCTACACTTAGGCAAGAAAAACCAAAAGTACACATATAGACTGGGTGAAACCAGGCTCAATAGCCTGGTAACTGTTAGAGGGATCTTAGAGTCTTAGTGGACAACCAGCTAAATATGAGGCAGCAGTGTGCAGCAGCCGTCCCAAAAGCTAATGCAATCCTAAGTTGTATTAACAGAGGGATACAATCAAGATCAAGGAAAGTACTAATACCACACTATAAAGCCTTAGTAAGACCACACCTAGAGTACTGCATCCAGTTTTGTTCACCACATTAAAAAAAAAGGTGTTGAGACTCTAGAAAAAATACAGAGAAGAGCAACCAGTATTTTTAGGGGATTGGAGGCTAAAACATACAACAAACTGTTGCAGGAACTGGGCTTGGCTAGTCTAGTAAAGAGAAGGACCGGGTAGACATGATAGTGGTCTTCCAATATTTGAGGGGCTGCCACAGGGAGGAAGGTGTCAAGCTATTTTCTATAGCCCCTGTAGGCCAGACAAGGAATAATGGATAGAAACTGAACAAGGAGAGATTTAACCTGGATATAAGGAGAAACTTTCTGACAGTGAGAACAATCAACCAATGGAAAAGCTTGCCCTCGGAAGTTGTGGGAGTGCCATCACTTGAGACGTTCAAGAAGGGATTGGACTGCTATTTGTCAGAAATGGTGTAAGGTCTCCCGCTTGGGTGGGGGGTTGGACTAGATGACCGACAAGGTCCCTTCCAAGTCTGGTTATCAGTTATCTATTATGTTTTAATAAAAGGAATGCCACACGGCATGGCAGAACTACCAAACTAATTCATTTATTATTATTTTTTAAATAAATTTTATTGAATTTACAATTAAAAACATATCAACAATACATACACAAAAAGAAAAAAAAAGAACATCTGGGCTAGCAAACCGGAGAAAGAAGAGTAAAGGGTGTAGAAGAAAAAGGAAAGAAAGAAAAGAGTAAGAGATGGAAAGGATACATCTAAAAACAAACAATATCCTTTTTGACAGTCTGTAAAATCCATTTCACCTAGATTAATTCAAATATGCTCATCTCGTCTACTATACTTAAATTACCCTTTATCTTTTAGTCAGTTTATCTCTGGCTTAACCAATTGTACCAAGAATTCCAATTATTGTGAAAGGAATGCCACATGGCATGGCAGAACTACCAAACTAATTCATTTATTTTTCATCTCCTTCATTCAGAAAAGACCCCAATCCCTATGTAATGACTATTGTCATTCTGGTTCAAGTAAGGTAAAAATAGAAGGAAAGCCATTTTGCTGCTATGACTGCTTTTCATGTCCAGAAGGGAAGATTACAAATCAGAAAGATAATTTTTCTTCAATATATAACTACTAACCTTTTAAAACCTATGTAGCATAATTTCAGAATGTTATGTAGTCCTGTATGTGTTATGTATTACAGGAGATTTAAGAAAGATGGTTGGGATGAGTGAAATGTAGAGAAGTACTTTATCCCCTCCCTAATTAACTTCCACAAAAGATAAACCTTGTCATCTCAGCCTTAAGACCTCCAGTCAATTACTGTTGCTAAAACCCAAAGGGATAGAACAGATTCTGGAAATTAAAATAAATTTAACATCAACTCTACAAGAGAAACTATTTGTTTGTTTGTTTACTTATTTATTTATAGAAAATTTATATTGCTACCTGCAATATAAATTGTATACCTGCAATTATACATGGTGACTCGAGGAAGCGGTTCATGAAATATTGTTGACTTCTCTTAAGATTTATAGCTCTGCTCTAAATTTCTCACTAAAAACCTCATGTGCTATTCTATTTAATCAAAAACTTTGCTGGCTATATCTAATCACATGCATATTCTAATTGGCATAATTTTTTATCAAAGGCTTGAATCTTCCATTAATTTTTAGATTAATCAAGCTACCTGCTACACTCTAAATAAACAATAAAATTGTGGACCCTTCTCTACTTTAAAATAAATTCTTTAGAAAACTCTCCTTATAAATTCTTTAGAAACTCTCCTCATCCCAGAATTTGTTCCTGTCTGTTTTTTGAACTTGGTGATGGATATTTATAATGAACTACAAATTTAATTTGAGATAAAAAAAAAACTGGCATCTAAAAATTTAGTTTATCAAACCATTGCCAAATGGTCAAGTGCGTTTAGCCTAGATAATAGCTCTATAACTCCCCAAAGGCTCTATTTGAAGCATAACTGAGGCCTATTTTGCTAAAATTTGAGCCATGATGATGCAATGTTAGTATTGAAAGCTAACTCTGCCCACAGTATTGAATTTGATTCTGACTGGCTGAAGGTTCACTCAGCCTTCCATCATTCTAAGGTCAATAACATGAAGAAACAGATTGTTGGGGGCAATATACGGACTCTTTTATGTTAGTGCTGTAAAGTACGATGGGGTAGTATATAGCAATAGCACTTAGACTTATACAGTGCTTTACAATCTTCCCTAAGCAGTTTTACAGAGTCAGCATGTTGCCCCCCCCCATATAAGTCTAAATGTTATTACTTTTGCTACTGCTAAATTTCTTGCTTCTTTTACCATTACTTCATTACTTCAGTAACTTCTACATCATAACAATAACAATTTATTCATTTGTTCATTCATTTGTTTCCACAGACATGGATGATTGTTTGCCATGCCTAGAAGGAGAGTATCCAAACAACAACCATGATTCATGCCTCCCAAAACAGATAGTTTTCCTGTCTTATGAAGATCTATTAGGGACTAGTTTGGCCACTACTGCACTCATCTTTGCTTGCATTGCCACGGTAGTACTTGGAATCTTCATCAAATACCAGGACACTCCCATAGTCAAGGCCAATAATCGGAACATTACCTACCTTCTCCTCACCTCCCTTGTGCTCTCATTCTTTTGCAGTTTATTATTCATTGGACAACCTGAAAAGGTGACTTGTCTTTTGCGACAAACTGCTTTTGGAATCATCTTCTCAGTAGCCATTTCTTGTGTATTGGCCAAAACCATCATTGTGATTTTAGCTTTCATGGCTTCAGTGCCAGGATCCAAGATGAGGCGATGGCTGGGCAAACAGTTAGATAATTACATTGTCATTTCCTGCTCCCTCATTCAAGTTGTTGTTTGTACCATATGGCTTATAACCTCACCCCCATATCCAGATGCTGATCTGAATGTAGCGGCAGATGAAATATTCCTAGAATGTAATGAAGGCTCCACTGTCATGTTTTATTGTGTCTTGTTATACCTGCTTTTCCTTGCCATTGTTGGTTTCTGTGTGGCTTTTCAAGGTCGGCATTTACCAGATAGTTTTAATGAGACCAAATTCATTTTCTTCAGCCTGTTGTGTTTTTGCAGTGTCTGGTTGTCCTTTTTTCCAACCTATCTGAGCACCAAAGGGAAATACATGGTAGCTGTGGAGATCTTTTCCATATTGTCATCTAGTATAGGACTACTAGGTTGCATATTTTTTCCCAAATGCTTTGTCATTCTACTGAGACCTGATTTGAATACTAAAAAACAATTAATGAGAGGTAAGAAAGAAGAAATATAATTCCATAACTGGTTCAGTGAAAGATACATTCACTGAAGACCACTCAGAAAATGGAACTAAATGAAATGTAATAGCAAAATGAAGCCATTACAGCACCAGATTCATAATAAAGTTGTTGCAAGTCATTGGGAATCCTCTTATTATTTCTGAGTGCTTTAGGCAAATAAATTTTTCCTAGCTTGCCCCCCCCCCCCAAAAAAAATGGTTAAACCAATTATGACCCCAGATATTTCCACCTTTATTTTAATAAATGGAATATAAACAATGAAACACCTACTCCCAAGACATAATATTTTCAATTTCTTTCCTTCCTTCTTTTATGCAATTTTATGGGGAAAAAAACATGAATACACTGGACTGTTGGAGTTTTAAAGAAAAAACAACTTCAATACATAAATTACATTGTCATTATCATGGTAATCCCATTAGTTTTAGTTCTATTTTACCCAAAACATCTCTAATCATATTCCTTACTCTTACTGTCTGTTATTAAAGAAATAAAACCTCTTGCAAACAATAGAACAGCCAATTATTATCACTAAAGATAATCCATAGCTTACAAATGTCTCTCATTATTAATTTGTTCTATAATGCCTACATGTTCAAACAGGAGATCCTGAGTGCACAAACACACACAAACAAACATTAGAAAGAGACAGATGCATGCATACATAAGTCAGAGTTGGGACATCCAAAAGAGGATGGTTAAAAGTCATCACAAAGGGGAGGGACTGCTACACAGATTTATTTTAAAGAAATTGATTGGAAAGATGCCAGATCAGGTGCCATAAACTTCAACATGTTGAGTACTGGAAAGTTTTGAGAGAACATAGAATTTAAAATTGGTAAATATTCCCCCATCACACTGTAATTATGAAATAACTACAATTTGATGCTGCATGATGACTTCCTGGTTCATGAAAATTCCCTCAGGATTTGAGGATAAGTGAACAGTCAAGTATACTAATATCACATGTTATATTGATATGAACAATTATGTCACATTCCCTTTCATGAGGGAGAAGACAGGCAGACCTATACTACTAGGATTATTTGTAGTTGATTCTATGTAGTTCTGGCTTTCAATCAGCCAAGTCTTGCCATGGGGTATTAAAAATCAGTGAGGGGTCAGACTATTCGGAATAAAGCAGAAAAATTCTCAGTGATGTTATTTTTGGCATTGATGATAATCCTATCAGTTGTACTTTATGGCCACAGAAAGATTCCTCTGTCTAAGTGTCCTATTAAGGCACCTCTGCCTATTGTCCACAAATATTACCAGCCTGGGGATTTTATCATTGCTAGCATTACCTCTCAAGTCTACATTCTTTCAAGTCCAGTAACTTTCCAGAAGCCATCTTCTGAGGAAACCTTTGATGACCTTTTGTAAGTATTGTAGGCTGAAAAACTATGGGTCTAGTCAGATTTTGTGCTACTTATATCATATAAGTTTTTTCTCTAAAGCTTGCACTTTGGAATGAGAAGAAAAAAAGGATGGCAAATTTTATTTAACACAATGTAAATTTGCCTATTTTTATTGAATATTGCAAATTGTGAAATATATGATAGTATCCAACATTCAGATGTTTCCTATAATTATCTACTATTGAGAATGCGAGCAGTGGTGGCATTTAATTTTTTTTTACTACCGGTACTGTGGGCGTGACTTGGTAGGCATGGCAGGGGAAGGATAAAGTTTCCAATCAGAGGTGGCATTTGCCAGTTCTCCAAACTACTCAAAATTTCCACTAGTGGTTCTCCAGAACTGGTCAGAACCTTCTGAATACCACCTCTGAAAGTGAGGCATAATTACCTCATCTATAAGTGATTTGATAATATAGATATATATTATATTCTGAAAGACTGAAAAAAAGGAAGCTACTAAAATGCATCTCTAGTGGTGGAAATGCTCATCTTAAGGAAAATGCTTATCTACTACATAAATATGAAATGTACATACATATTTTCAAGGCAACAATTAAGAGAATGACTATGTCAGGATAGAATTAGTAATGAGATATAAAGAATGTGGCAACCTGGAACCTATTGTTCATAACCAAGGATGTTTACTCAGAATTATCAGCATATCCTGGCTTTGATTTTTGCTGTGAAAGAACTCAATGAAAATACTCAACTCTTACCCAATGTCAGTTTTGGATTCCACATCTTAAACAGCTACTTTCTGGCAAAGTGGACCTATCTAGCCTCAATGGAACTTCTATCCACTCAGGACAGATTTACCCCAAACTACAAATGTGATGATTGGAATAAGATTGTGGGAGTCATTGGGGGACCCACCTCTGAAGTCTGCCTCCACATGACAAATATATTGAGCACCTATAAGATTCCACAGGTAAAAAAAATAATAATCTAGGTTTGCTAGGTTTAAGATACTTTTGTAAATGAGAGATAGAACATCATAATTTACTAATTTGCTAGAGGATGTATTTATGAAGCATTGTAAAAAGTATGTAATTAGGTTTGAAAAAGCTGGCACACTTTGTTGTATTTGTTGTATGTTAGTAAGATGAAAGAAAGAATTGGAGGAAGTTTTGGGGATCCGGGTCCCAAACAAGATTAAGTATATAGGGATACATATAACACCAAGATGTAGCACATTTAAGGAGGATAATTATCTTAAACTCAAACAACAGATTGCGACAGACTTGATAAAATGGGAAAATGTACAATTACCACTGATTGGGAGAATATCTACAATTAAGATGAATGTATTGCCTAGAATCTTATACTTATTCCAGGCAATTCCAATCAGATTATGGAAATAATTTTTTGAATATTTAAACAAAATAGTGTTAAAATACATTTGGCAGGGGAAGAAAGCGAGAATAAAGCTTAAATTGTTACAAGATGCCAGAATAAGAGGAGGATTTGCTTTGCCCAATTGGGAATTATATTACCAGGCAATAAGTTTGATGTGGATAAAGGAGTGAATAACACTAAGGAATACTAGACTTTTGAATTTAGAAGGTCATGACTTGCTGTTAGGGTGGCATGCCTTCCTCTGGTATAAGGGAAACTCAGGGGTATTTTAGAATACATTATATTCAAGAAGCATTGTTTCTAAACTGGGAGAAGATAAAAAAGCAACATTATTTAAAAATTCCACTATGGTTATCTACTATTGAAGCTTTTTCCCATTCAATAATATATAAAAAGGAACAAACAGTTAGATATGGTGAGATATTGAATGAAAAGGGTAAACTTATTTCTATGCAAGCGTTGGAAGAACAAGGTGTAAAAATGAATTGGTTTTCATATTTGCAAATACAATCTAGATTTGATAAAGATGTTAAAACAGAAGGTATTTATGATAAGTTGACTGATCTTGATAAAATTTTGACAGGTACTGATGAAAAAGTAATTAAAAAACTTTATGCACATTTGCTGGAGTTTAAATTAGAGGAAGAACAAGTAAAAGAAACAATGACTGCATGGGGAAAATTTTTTGGATATGAGATTGACTTAGATAAATGGCAAAAATTGTGGTCTCAAAATTATAAAATGACAATGTCAACTGCATATAAAGAAAATTAGTATAAGATGTTTTACAGGTGACACTTACCCCCGACGAGAATTGCAAGGATGTTCAAGATTAAATCAGATAAATGTTGGAAATGTCATCAGAAACCTGGTTCATATTACCATATGCGGTGGACATGCTTGATGGAAAAAGACACTGGGCCATAATCTACACATGGTTGGAAAAAATGATAAAACAACATATAGACTTTAAACCTGAGATATTTTTATTGGGAATAATACTGGAATTATATCATAAAGAATTGAAATATTTGATTGTAAATGTTTTAACAGCCGCTAGAATTGTATTTGCTAAGAATTGGAAAAATGAAAAAATACTTATGCAGGAGGAAATTATTAAGAAAATCATGGACTGTGCTGAAATGAGTAAATTGACATTTGAAATTAGAGAACAAGAAGATAAACAATTTTATATGATATGGGATTTAATTTATCAATGGTTAGATAAAAAGACATGGTAAAGAAATAGATTAATAAGCCTTACAATAAAAGTTAATAGATTGATATAGAATACAATATAATATATATATATATCCATTGGATGAATGTATAAGATTAAATTATAATGAAATTTAGAATATCTCATATAAAATGATGGAAAAATAGTATAGTCAAATGAATGTTTAATAATTGATATTACATAAGTACAAGCTAGATTGATAAGGTGAGAATTTATATATCTTGTGAGCAATGGTAAACAAAAGGATAGCACAAAAGATTGTAACCAGCTGACACACTGTATCTATATAATTGAAAGATGGTTTTATGTTTTTATGTTTTGTTTGTATGTTTGTTGTAAAAAATAAAAACTTTGTAAAAAAATAAAAACTTTGTAAAAAAATAAAAGAATGTGTCTACAGTGGGAAGTGATACCATTACAATTCCACAACAGAGTTCTAAGCACTTCTTGGGGGGAGGGGGTTCCATCATAATTGAGACTTCTTAAGTAAGGACTACCTATCTTTTGCAATAATACATCCATCTGTCACCATACATTCTATATTTTCCAAGAAACTTGGTTAGAGGGATTTTGAAAAAAAAAAAAAAGCTGTGGAAAGTCTTGTACGTGAAAAGATTGCAATTGATGCTGTTGAATAACAAAATGTTTTAAGAACATATATTATTTCCTGAAATAGCTTTGGACATAAATGTATTAGTTAAGATTTGTCATAAGAAATATTTAAATGGGCAGAAAACCCATGAGAAAAAAGAATGAAACTAGTTCTAATTGTCTTTCCAATAAAAGAATGAGAAAATTTATTTCCACTCTCTCTGCTCCCTTCCGATGGCTTTTCCCCCCAAAGATTTTATATGGATCTTCTCCAATAATAAATGACAAAACCAAAGAAGATTTTTTTCACCAGATGTTTCCAAGTGGGACTCATCAATATTCGTGCATACTTGAGTTGCTACTGCATTTCAAGTGGACCTGGATCGGTGTGATTGTTTTGGATGATGACAATGGAGATGTGTTTGTACAGGATATACTTCCCTTATACTCTCAGAAGGGTGTCTGTGGAAGCATCCCCCAAAATATCTTTTTCAGGTGACATTGCTAAGACAGCATTGGAATGATTTGCAACCTCACACATTGTCACAGGAAGTAGTGCCAATGCTGTTGTCATTCAAGGTGAAATGCAAACAATTAGTGTCTTAAGAACAATTTTCCACTTTTCAAAATTTTATGAAGTAACAATTGAAAGTAGAGTGTGGATTATGAGAGCCCAGATGGATTTTACATCTCCTGGCAAGAGATTGGGACATACATTTCCTCCATGGTGCTCTATCATTTGCTGTCATACAAACCACCCTAGAGGATTCCAACAATTTCTGAGGGAAAAAAGATCCTACTTCAGAAAAAAGAGATGGGTTTATCAGAATCTTCTAGAAAGATGTATTTAATTGTGATTTCTCAAATTCCAAAAGAGAGGGATGAGGATATCTGCACTGGGGAAGAAAAATTGGATAATCTGCCTAGAACCCTGTTTGACCCAAGCATGTCTGGCAACAGTTATTGCATGTACAATGAAGTTTAGATTATAGCACATGCTTTGTATGCCATAACTACCTCCAAATGGAAAGATAGAGCAAAGATAAAAACCACAAGACAACAATTTCTACTTGGAGAACCCTGGTAGGTATCTTCCAAGAATGTACCAGAGCTCTTTTTTAGAAGACAATTAAATATTACAACATAGAATATTGGGACAAATTATTACTCACATAAGTGTTTGTAAATAAATATAAAAGAGGCAAAAATGCAGTTCTTCTCTTCACTCATAAATCTATTTTTTAATCATAAATCTTGAGATATAAAGATGGCAATCTTCTGGGGAAAACTTCAAAAATTAAAGTATATTTGAATAATTAAAGAAGGAACAAAATTTTCTTCATGTTTTTCCCTTTTCTTTTAAAAATATAGCTTCTGAGTATGTATTATATATTCAGAATTTTAAGAAGAGATGAAATATGTAAGGTGTTACATATTTCTGCATATTTCTATGTTTTGAGTGTGTATTCATATATATGTACTGTTTCTTTTTTTGCATATAATATATTTTTATTTTTAAGTATATAATGTATGTTACAAAAGTAAACACAGAAAATAGTACATTTAATGTGACCAACAGCCAAACTCCCTGAGTGAACTAGCGAAGTTTGAAGATGTCTACCTGCTAACCCTGACCTAAACGTAACAATTTCTGCCTCATTTACAGTTCTAAATTAGAGAATATTATTTAGGTATTGATCCTGCTATTTTGTAATAATAATTTGTGCTTTTATGTTTTTGCTTGAGGCAGTGACTGTAGTGTAATTTGACTGTAATTGCCGTTATATAAATCTGTACCTTCTTCAAACTCTTTGGCACTGAAGGATTAATACATATTGTTTCTTTAACTGTAAACACAATGTAAACATT